GCTGTATATCTACAAATTGTTGAAGCAAGCTCATCCCGATACTTAAATCACAACCAAAGCAACGGGAATTATGAACTATTTCGTTAGCGACATCTTCGAGCGTATAGCTATAGAGTCTCGCTTAACAAAGTACGCCGAGAAGTCGAGAATGAGCTCCCGCGAAATCCAAACTGCTGTACGCTCACTTTCGCCAGGTGAACTTGCGAAGCACGCTGTCAGCGAAGGTACGAAGGCTGTCTCCAAATACACAAGCAGCAAATGAATGATGATTAATATTTTCATCAAAAGAAAGAGGTTTTCTAAAGGCACCCTAACGTCTGTATAATTCTCTCATCAAGCAGTTATCGGATGCTGTTGTTTATTTTGTTGTTACCGAACTCGAGATTAAATTTACCCAAATTATCCAACATGTTGAGACGACAGGAATACCATGAAAACTTGCGTTTATCGACAACTTTCCAACTATTCTGAAATAACTTTATGTGTGAATAGGACACTGTCCATTCTAGTTTTGTGAATTGTTGAAATAACCCGGCCGTTCATCGATAGAACATGTCGACTTCAGTTTAGCATTTGCATGTCGTGCTATCTTTGCTTTCACTTACATTAAAAGAGTAAGGTGTTTCAGTATGAATCATGTCAAACATGTCTCTAACTTTTGACATGCATGCCTTGCAACACTCACTGTGTTGCAGAGTTTGGAATAATCTTACGAAAGATGCACAAATCGCTTGTGGTGATGCGGTGCAAATGGATGTTTGTTTACGATGATCATTATTCATTACTATATTTATTTCCTGCCCTCCTCCCGAATTAATCTACTATAGAATCAAAAAGTAAAACCTGATTTTCTTTTTGATAGTTTTTCATACCCATCTCATCATACGGATGATATCAAATCCAAAATTGATTCCTCCAATCCTAACAGTCAATTTACCATCCTGCCGCGGGCCCTACCGAAACGAAAGGAAGAAGGGAGGAGTAGGGATCTTAGCTTAAGTATCTTCTGAATTCATTTTAAAAGAATCCCCCTGGCAAAGAGCTAGAAAACCATCGAGCGTATCGTATTAGACGTCCAATTAAAAGCGAAAAGAATTATTGAGATCGGCCTGTACAGACCTCCAAAAAGCTTCACATTATCGTATCGACAACGGCTCGAAGAAGAATCGAGCTAACCACATATGCAATTGGAAGAATCTACAGTGAGAATACATTGTACTGCTTGGTGACTTGAGTCTTGATTGCTTTCAACCAGCAAGCAACGAAGGAAAACTACAACATTATCTACAAGAAACGCATGAAGGCTGCCTCATTTCGAAACCGACCAGAATTCAGAAAATTGGAGAGCGATTGAGTAAGACACTCATAGATGTTATTCTTACCTACCTGCCTGATGGTTTTACCAACTGAGCGGCGTGTTTGATCCAGTTGATCCAGAGCGACCACGCCCTTTTCTTCGCTTTTATAAAGGAAAGGGTGGCCAAATCGAACGGAAAAGTAGCGAATTTTCGGTCAAGTAAAAACTTAGATGAAAAGGAATTTAAGGAACACTTAGCTGCCTCCCCACAGCATGTCGCTGAAGATTTTGATGATGTTGACGATCGGTCTGAATTTTTCAGCGTACGGACAAAGGACATCGTAGACGAACATATGCCATGCAAGAGAATGCGTGTTAGAGACGACGATGTGCCATAGACAACTGAGTGGAAGGAGGCAATTCGACGAAGAAGAAAAGCACTCAGAATATTTTATATGACCAAAGCCACTGAAGACTTTCAGAATTTTTCTCTTTGCATTAACGACTATAACTTAGAGAGAACTGACTCTTTTAAGTATTTAGGAGTTACAATCAGTCAAAATATGACTTGGCAAGATCACGTTTCTTCGGTTGTCAACAAAGTCAACCAACGCCTTGGTGTCCTGAGAAGAGTGAAGCAGATGCTACCACTCCAATCCCGTCTAACTCTGTACAATAGTCTCATTCTTCCCTTGTTTGATTATGGTGACATTGTTTGGGGTGATAAGAACAACTCCACTCTCATGGAAAATCTTCAGATTCTTCAAAATAAAGCTGCTAAGATAATTGTTGCTCGCCATCCGCATGAAATCGGCGTCCGAAGCTCTTGATTCTCTCGGTTGGAAGTCACTGCATCTCAGGCGACGTTTCCATCGTTGTACAACGATCTTCAAGTGTTTGAATGGTCTCATTGACTTTGATTTTAATTTTGTCAGAAATAACTTAGTTCGTAATTACAACACGCGTTTCAAAAACGATTTTCATTTACCTCGCGTAAGAACCGACTGGAGAAAACAACGTTTTACGTATCAGAGCGTCGTAGACTGGAACTCAAGATATACGTGACACCGCTGTACTTTCTTACTTTAAATCTAAGCTTAAACATGCATTTTAGTTAAACATGCGTTCTCGGCTAGAAGTAGGTTTCTATTCTTATCTAGTTATAGCTTAGCTTTTTAATTTTTATTGTAATTCTTTTGTAGCACATGCAGGGCCTCACTGAAGAGTGGGCTCTCTGTTAAAATATTGTTATTATTATTATTATTACCTCTATCAAATTCACTCAGGGCCAGTCAGTTCTC